TCCGTTTCCTTCTTAATAGTTAAGGAAGATGAATATATATATATATATATATATATGTGTGTGTGTGTGTGTGTGAAAGAATTTGAACAACTTTTGAAAAGAATGTTTGAAACAACAAAAGCAAATAAAAAAAACTTTGTGATGCCTAGTTTGTCATAAAATTTGTTAGAAATTATAATTTTTCTTAGTAGACACCTTTAGGTCACATTAAAGACTTCAAAATGTTCCAAAAAAAAATCATTCATAACATTATGATTAAATTTGTAATAAAAAGAGGAAAAGAAGTGGGAAAGAAAATGCATCAGCTGGGTTTCACCGGCATCAAAACTTTAGAAACATATATTTCATTATACCTGATCATATTCTAAGGATTAGCTATTGCCTCTTGGTGAGAATCTTTGTTGCAGTAGCTTCTATATTTTTAGTGGTTCTTTCGTAATTTTTGCAATTTCATTGGTAATGTACTCTTTGCATCCCATTTTTAGTATCCTATTTTACTTCCATAGAATTTAAGAAAAAATATTTGATTTTGACATTTTGTATTAAATCATCAATATGTTTTTATAAAGTCTATATTTCATGATTTGTAATACTAAAAGGTAAAAAATATATAATATAGTTTTAGAATATAAAAAAATGAAAATATTAATAAGGTGTATTCTTAAAAATGATTTTGGAACATAAACGTAAAATGAATAGAAAAATAAAACATAAGAAGAAATACCCTTTCAGCTTTATAATTTTAAAAATATTTATATCTATTATATGCATGGCGTAGCCGAGAGAGACAAAGCGGTTGGAATTTTTATTCAATCGATTTGGTTAATTTTAAATTAAATTATTCAAAATTAAATTAATTAAATTATTTTATTTTATTTTCGTTAACAGAACCAAATGTTTTGATTTTGAAAATTAACTTACTGAAATTAATTTGGTTAATTCAATTAATTTTTTTTGTTAATCGAATAATAAAATACATTAAGTTAAATTAAGCTAAAAATATCAAAGTATTAAATTACATTAAATCAAATATCAAAGTATTAAGTTAAAAATTTTAATAAATTGAAATAAAATAAGTAACTTCATATATTTTAGTTTTATATATAGATTTATTATATTTCGGTTAAAATTTTTGTTAATTCAATTAATTCAATTTTTGAATCAAATTAATCGAAAATTGAAATTTATTTAAAATCATTTTTGATAATTAATCGAAATTAATTCGATAAACAATCAATTAATCAAATTAAATTGATTCGATCGATTAATTTAATTAAAGTTGATTTTTAAATACCCTAACAAATAAGGTCATGATCTCTAAAATTTTTTATCCCATTCTAGAATAATAATTAGGGCCATTAAAATTAGTGTCCGACCCCCTTTCCCAATTCAATTTACTGTATGGCTCCCTGAATAATCATTGTATGGCTTATATGTGTGCATGTGCACAAATTCAAATCATACATGTCATAGTTGTTAAAGAGGGGAGATTCTTGCAAATTAGACGAGTAAATAACATTGAGGCGGATATAATTTCAATTGTGCCTATAAAATGTGGGGTCGTCCATGTTTTATATGTTAGAATAAATTATAAATTGAACTTTTTTTTTCATAAACAATTTTGATACACACGAATTCGAACTGTCATAATTAACAACAATAGTTGAATTGGTTACTATCTTGAGAGAAACTGGACAGAAAGGTTACACGTCTGCAGCATATAAGCGAAGGAGGAATGGTGGAGAAAGTGGAAGGCAATTTTTGGTGTAAATAGAGAAGAAAGAGATTCAAAAGACTTGGGTGGGAGACAGCTTTATCTGTTCATAATTAACGCGAAAGTTGAAATGGACATTACTTAGGTTTTGATTTGATAAGTCGATTTTTGGTGTCAGCTGGGACGATAATAGATAGTAAATAATCGTATATTTGATGTTATTTTATTTTATTATATTTGAATATTAATAAATTAATAATTATTACATTTGGATAAAAAATTTATGGTTTATGTCATATTTGGATAGAATTTGACATTACCGTTTAGATATTCGTTACTCAAATTTATTTAAATTTTAATAAATAATATTTAATGTGCAAATTATTAGAATTATAACAGTTTTGACACCCATTGTTGAATAAAAAACTCAAATTAATTGAACATTCAAATAAGTAAAATCATCGAATCATCAAATCAATCAAATAAATGCTAGTAATTTAATGTGATTTAATTTAATCAATTTATATTCACAGATAAGAAAAAGAATGTCTAGTAATATAGTATTACAAATAAATATTAAATCAATCTCTCTCATGATTAATACTCATAAATCTTCTTTTTTTTTTTTATTCTTATGAAATATTTTTAATCCAAACAAATATATACTCATGTATTCATGCATCGTAAATATATGAACCTTCTTAGTCTCTTCTATTCCACTCAAACATATACAAATAAAAGATCAATCTCTCATATAAAACCTAATAATTCTTTATATCTTTTTCTCATATTTAATCCTCTGAAAATTTTACCTATTTATAAGCACATTTTTTAAACTTAAATACTTTTTATTAATAAATATTATTATTTATAAGCATATTAATTTGTCTATTAAAATTTTTTTCTCTTAAAATTCTTCTCCTATATATTTTTTTTCATCAAGTAATATCTAACAAATTTTAATTTAAATAAAATTTTATCCAAATCTCTTATAAGATTTAAGTCAATCCTAACATAAATTTGTATTTGAATTTGTTAGATATCTTATATTTGAATCTATTTAAATTTTAATAAATAATATCTTATGCATAAATCCATATAGAAGTTGTATCCGAATTCGTTATCTATTTACATATTTAAAATATATAAAATTTTATACTTGTGGAAGAGTACAATCCTTAACAAATAACATTTATTTGTTATTAATTAATAGTAAACTTAAATTTTAAATTCAATTTTTTTTATTTTATATTTTAACAAAAATTTTAAGTAATAAGATATTTTATATTCAAATATTTAATAGATAATCCTTATTTAATTAGAGTAAAATTGAGATAATTGTACTCAAATTTAATCGGATAATTAATGGATTTTGATATAATAAAAATTAATAAGATTCAAATACGGCTATTTAAAAATTAGTGGATAAATGATCTATTGTCATTCTTAGTGTCAGCTGTACTTTTTTTATTATTTAAAAATTTAATATAAATTTTTTTTGAAATTATGCAATGATCTTTTAATTAGATAATTTTCCTAAATTTTTTTCAACCAAAAATAATTTAATAATTTAACTGCTGCACAGTATAATATCGACCCGTCCTTATCACTTCCCAACAAATTTCTTTTGTTATGAAATCACCTACTTATTTCCCTTCATTTCTATATATTTTCAATTTTTTTCTTAATATTTTATTTCTGAAAATGTTTATTTTTATTAGATATACATGATATAGTGGAAATCCAAAGTAATTTTTTATTTTTATATACATGATATAGTGAAAATTTTCACAATTGTAACATTTGCAGATCAAATGACTCTTGTATATATTTGTAATATCAGTTACACAATCAAAGTCTGCTAAATTGCCTCTTGCAGTTAGATTATACTACTCCTCTTAAAAAAAGAAAAAGGTGTGCTCCTCAAGCATGCGCTAAATTATTAGCTTATATTGAAACGTGTTTAAAGAGGCAATGAACACAAATGGATGTCAATAAAACTTTATGTCCTCGGTGATTACTCCATAAGAAGAGGTAATTATATCTTATAGTTAAAATTTAAAGTAACATCCCGTTCAATCCATGCTCAAAGATATATGATTCCTATTAAGAGTAATGTTTTTTAGGACAAAAGAGTTCGCAATCTATGTATAAGGAAAATGGTTACAGTTACAAGAATTTGAATTCCCACTTATAGCTGCTAGAGTCATTTTTTAAGAGTGAATATATGAACTAATTAAATTCAGTTCTGAATTTTATTAGAAGTAATGTTATATGGTCAAATGTAAAAAAAAATGTATCAAAATTCAAAATATGATCTTAAATTTAACTCAAAGGTTTTCTCATCAAAATTTTGCCTTTTTGTTTTCAGTTTTAATTTTTATTAGCTGTCTTTAGCAAACTTTACCTAAATAATTTTTCATTTTCTACTCTTCAAATTTAAATTTGATGAAGAAAAAAATCTTTGAAATGCAAAGAGTTTTATTAATGGAATTTTCCTAATTTGGGGGGAGCTTGCCGATTTCCTCGAATAGAAGGCTTCCATACTAACTTTTATTGCTGTTATTCAAACTTTTGAACGGGGAAACGAGAAGAAAACAAGAAAATATAGCAAGCATTGACCTGTAATGAATCGAAATATGCTTGCATTAAAAGTGGCATTATTATAAATAAAGAATTTGGAATGTGAATATAAATTTTGGAAATTTATCAACTAAAAACCAGGCAGCCTTAATTGCCAAATGCTACCTTCTAAAGGAGCATGATTATGATTAAGGCATGCGCAAATTCGGGTTTGGAAAATATTTCCATAGGCTGCCCTACAACTGACCAAACATGGGAGAAATTACATTATCAAATTATAGATAGTTATTTTTTCCAAAAAAAAAAAAAAAGTCTCAGGCTAATTAATTTTTTTAGATCTCAATTAATTTTATTACCTGCCACATATACATAATTTCAGTACAGATAACATATATGGTTCCATTCGCATCGTAAAATTGACATCTTTATTTAAAACCAGTGGCAAATTCGCTTGTTAGAATTATAAATGTTTAAGTCGGATTTCCAGAATAATTATTTAGCCAAATTCAACAGCATATTCAGTACTCTAATTGCAAAGATAAATTAGCATTTCCATACAACTAAATAACCGCTGATGAAATTACAACTGAATTGAAGTGAACCATATGTGACCTCATAAAGAAGGTAAACAAAAGACAGAGAGGAAATAAGTGGAAACCAAATGAAGAAAGCACAAAATAAACAAGAAAGGACACTATCTTTGTCAGTTAATCTGTACTCCAAAAAGGGTAATGCTTTTCTTCTCCACATTATGAGCTGACTCAAATCCAATGAGGGCTTTGTCTTCATTAAACTGAGTGTTATCTACTGATCTGCAGTAGTAATTCTTCCCCAAATTCACTTCCAATTCTACCGGCAAATTATCTTGATGAGTTGATGATTCTAATCTGTTAAAGACGTTCTCCTCATTATAGTTTACATTAATTAGGAAGAAATTTTGGCCATTTTTTTCCCCACCAGGGCACTCACATGTGTAAAATGTGATTGTGTCGCTTTTCCTCAATTTTTTCTCCTTCACAAATCGATTCCAACCCCTTGTGAAAACAAAGCTTTGGCTACTCCTCCAATAGCAATACCGAAATTTCCAAGTCGTCATTAACTTGTCATAGAAAACAAGCTCAGTGTCTTCTATCCCACTACTTACAATACTTTGTTGATCATTCTCACAAATGTATGGAAAGTACTTAACGGCATATTTTTTGGGGATGACAAGTCTATTAAGCTTGCCAACATCACTTGGAGTTAATTCCTTCTGAAAAAGTTGCATACAAGAAAATTGTATATCACCATGCATCAAATTTTTGTTGAGATTTGTGTCCAATTTCCCATAATTTTTAGATAGAATCTTGACATAATCTGCAAACTTGGCTCGATAGGAACCGTCTCTGATCATGTTCAATACAACTTCTGTGGTATAAAGGTTTTGGAAATTCGGCTCATGGATGTTGTGATCAGTCCATGGAAAATTTCTATGGGAATCTCCGCTTCGAAGCTTGATCGCTGCGCTGTCATAAGCCATAGCTGCTTCTTTCTCGAACTTGAATGTCCCAAGCCAAATCCTCTGGTGGTTGGCGTAAATTTGTGCACCCCAATGTCCATTTTGCTGTGGCACAACCCCTTTAAAGCTTGCCATTGAGGCACAGTTATCTTGCCTGGGACGTTTGCTAGCGCGTAACCTGTAGTTGCTGGTGCCAGAATCTGAGGTTCCTGCTGCTGCGACATTCAATTTAGCATTTAAAACCATGCTTGATTCTTCTTCTTGCATTAGAGAGTGGTCTAAAGGAACAAAAATAATAATAATAATAATAATAAGAACAAGACAAATTTGAAAAAAATTCTAGGAATGGAAGAGTTAATGGAAATTGTAAATGAGCAAGGTGGGGTTTAATAATAATATTAAAAAAAGCATGTCAACACCGATTGAAGCAAGAAATAACGATTCAAAAAATTCAGGAGAGATTGAGGGAGAAAATCCTGCAATCAGAGATATTGATCCTACTGTATGAAAATGGAAGGTTTACGTTTGAAAGATGAAGGGTCTATAAGAACCTAAGCATAATTAGGTATCCTTTGGCAGTCAAGCTAGAACCATATTACTTCCCAGGAAAAATGCTTTTCCAATGAAAATAATAGGTTAGAAACAATGTTTTTTCCTTTTATTTGAAAACTTTGAAAATAATGTTAACTCAGGATAATTAGTGGGTTAGTAAGTTGAAACAAACTGTGAGTGACTTGATTATAATTGTCTTAATTTAGGCATAATGATCTTGTTCATCAACTTAAAATGCCTAATACATTGCTTAGCCTCTCAATTAGTTCCTTTAACTAAAAATGCCATTTGTTCAGTGTGTCATGTTAGTTGCTGCAATGCATAGTATGTGCTGCCTCTATTTTATAGATTAGCTCAAATGTGTTGCATTTTAACAAAAATATAAGTTCATGATCACTAATGAAGCCTTGTTACTTTGTTTTGATCATGTAAGTTTTGTAACCATCAGATCTCAGGTTTCAAAATCCAAATTCTGCTGGATTAATCTAATGTAATTATGTTGGGTTTTCCTCCAACCACATGCTGATTTGTTAATCTTGGTTGATTATATTTGTAAGGGTTTATTTGGTAATTATGTTGATAATATTCAAGTATAACCAAAAAGAATTATGTTGGTAATATTCATTTGTACACATTCTCAACTAAAATACAATCTGTATAAACAAACAAGAAATAGTATAAAACTTAATTAATTTATGTTAAGAACTTATTATTTAATTACAAATTAAATAATAAAAACTTATTCAAATACAAATTAAATGTTAAGAGTTTATTCGGATGTAAATTAAAATTTAAAAATTTATTTGGATGTAATAAAATTATAAAGACTTATCTAAATAAAATGATAAATTTAGAGACTTATTTGTTATTTTTGACTATATATATTTTTCTCTTTTTGATCTTTGATTTGTCGCCAAATTGGAATTAAAAACCTGATTCCATCAAGATGAAATAAAATAATGTGACCCACCAACCAAACTATTTGGCATTCGTAGAATCCATCAAAAGAGCATGTTGTCCACGACAACAGTAGACTTTCCAAAATTTCCCCTTTACCCTTTAATTTTCACTAGAAAATTAATTAAAAGAAAATATAATTGTTTGTCTTTGATTTGTCAACATATTCTGCTACCGTGATTAATGGATTAGGGATTAACTCTCTTAACATTCCATTTACCATTGTATTAATCGAATTACACCAAATGAAAAGTAGGTTTGAAGAGGTTTTATTTCATGTTTTTCATAGGAAAGGTTGCCTCAGAATAAGTTTGAAGAGAGGCTGTTTCCTAGAAGAAATTTCATGTCCACAAAGGGTTATTAAGGTGTAGCTTTATTTCCCAAGTTAAGCACATCGCTTTTATTTTTAATTGGAAAAAAAATCTTGAGTTATACTCAAGACAAATCTTAACCATCCCATCCCTTTTATGGTCAATCACCATTTGGCTCTCTAATAATGAATCAATCTCATATATCACAATTCACACAATGGCTTTTTTTTTTTTCTTAATTATTGAATGCTTGGCTTGGTCAAAAAAGAATTTTTTTATTACAAAAGCAAATTTAAGGTAGTTGGCTTTCAAAGAAATTTTTACTTTTAACTTATATGAAAAACTTATTTGGGTTTTTAAATGAAGATATAAATAATCTTTTTCAAAAAATATAGAGTTATTTGATCCATTTAAAATTTCTATAAGAGGTGCTATTTGAGTATAATCGTAAAAGCATTATAAAAATAGGTTAAAATCACATTTGGTAATTTATGTTTTTATGTTTGGTAATTTTTATTAAATATATGTAAAATATAAAAATTATTATGTTACAATTCGTGTTGATACATAAAAGACAAATCAATATTTTTGGTTTTTACCGAATCTATATATAGACGCCTTAATTGGTCCGAGCCCAAGCCCATTAAATCGGTTCAATAGGGCCTGGGCCTAAGCCTATTAAACCCAATTCAATGGGGTCCAAGTGATGGGCTCAACTGTTTGTTTTTTATTCTGGTTTTTATTTGATTTTTTTTATTATTTATTTTAAGATAATAGGATATTAATTAAAAAATGAAAAAAAAATAAAAAAGAAAGGTGGTTTAGGAGTTTAAGTCGGATTAAAGGTTGGAATTAGAATTTCGAAGGGATTGAAATCCCATTTGGATTAGGATTTTCGGATTTGAAAAACTCTATAAATATAGGCTTAGATACAAATCAAAGACACACAAAAAATATAGAAAACAGAAGCCAAAAAAGCTGTTTAGAAGAGCAGAAGCAATTTAGAAATTTTAGGAAATTTTTTTTAATTTTTGGCAATTTTTTTTTTGCAAAATTTTCAGATTTCGGTGAAATTTTTCAGTGCCGATTGAATTTTTCGACGAGTTTTTTGGTGCCGGTTGAATTTTTTGGTGAACTTCCGACGAACTAACCCAGATTCTAACGATGTTTTCCAGAATCTAAAGAAAATTCAATCAAAATTCATCTGGTTCTAGAGAGAGAAAGGGGAAAGAAGAATTCTGCTTAAAAGGCTGAGATTTAGCCTTATATATATCCATTGAAAACGATGTCATTTTGCGTCTAAATAAATCTTAGGATCCGCACATTTTTAAGCAGGTGACTCGACCCGCATGTCAACCCGATCGTGACCTGCGTGCCAGCTGATCCTTGGAGTCGAGTTGAGCCGAGTCGCATCTCCCCAAGCCGTACATGCGAGCCACTTTTTGTGCCTCAAGTTGAGCCGAATTCCAGCCGAGTCGAACCGTTTCGTTTTTGGTATTTTCCTTTTATTTTTTTTGGTATTTTTTATTTTTTTCTTTTATTTATGTTTTTTTTAATATTTTGCATGATTTAATTTAATAAAAATAAAAAAATAAATTTTGAGAATAAATATTAATTATCTAATGATGGAATTTATAGAAATTTCAAATGGTAAATTTTTATAAAATTTCAATAACAATAATTAATGTTTATTTTCAAACAAAAAAAATAAAGAAATAAAAAGAAACATAAAAAATATAAAAATTTTGGAATTAAATACAAATTACCCAAGGATGAGATTCTTAAAAATTTCAAATGGTAAATTCTTAAGAAATCTGTAGATGAGAAATTTTCTCTAAATTTGGCCTAAATGGAAGAATAATTTAGATTAAATTTCAATATAAGTAATTGTATTCTTTTTCAAATAAAATTTTGATTGAAAATATGTGATAATTACTCAAGGATAAGATTCCTAAGAATTTCAAATGGTAAATTCCTAAGAAATCTCTAGGTGAGAAATTTTCTCTAAATTTGGCCCAAATGGTGGAATAATTTAGATGAAATTTCAATAAAAATAATTGTCATATTATTTTCTTTCTAAAAAAAAATTAAAAAGAATTTCTAAAGAGGCCTAAATGGTGAAAAAAATTAGAAATTCAAAACAAGAAAATATTTCTAATTTGGCCCAAATGATGGAATAATTAGATATATTTTCAACAAAAAAATAAAACTAACAAAAAATTTTTTAATGACAGAGCCTCTTCAAGGAAACAAACGGGATCCTTGAATATTCTTAAGGTGAGAAAATATTTTTTAAGAGTTCTACTAGATTGATGAAGAATCTTAAAAACTATTTCCAATATTTAACATAAAAATTTAATACCATTAGACTCAAGACCCTATGATAAATTTAAAATAATATGGTACCATCCTTTGGATGGACATATGGGGGTACTATAACCTTCTTCATATGTAATTGAACTCCTAAACCCTGTTCTGGTTAGAAGACTGAGCCTATTCTTTTAGGGACCCTTAGTTAAGCTTAGGAGCTCCCTAAAAAGATAGATTCCTTAGGTGACCAATCACACCTAGTTAAAAAAGATTGGTAGCAACTGTATTTGTTATATTTAGCTATAGATTTTTGAATCTATATGTTATGACAGTTTGGCAACTCCACTTTGGATGCTAAAAAGTCAAGCCATAATTTCTAAATTTATCCTATCCTTTGGTCTAATGGTTTTAAATTGTAATGATTTGTTTACTAACAATTTTTCTTTTTTGTTTGTTATTTGATTTATTGAGGCATGAAACCTATGTGTTCCTCCACACACACTATCACATGCATTTACATTACATGAGCTCTATACCCGAACTCCGTCTTTCTTAGGAGAGAGTAAAGGTACCTACACTCTCATGAGATGATAATCTTCATAATGGCTATAAAAATACTCCTACTTAAATTAAATCTTTTTCGTTGGTAGCCTGTGATGGGTGAGGATTGGAATGCCTTACTAGTTTGTGATGGACTATGTTGTAAGGAACAATTTGAGAACCTTTAGTGGTCAAAATCATCTAACTCTGTAAATAGTTCACTCCTAAGAGGCCAGCCCTAAGATAGAGCTATTTCTACCTAGTATAAATATAACCCAAAATTAGGACACAAGAAGGAACATCTTGTATATTGCTTATCTAACCATTTTGTTACCATGCATCATTTCCATATCATTTCATTCTATGCATCATTTTCATGCTCATGTCTTAACATTATCATATCATCCTATGCATCATTTTCGTGCTCATGTTTTAACATTATAATTTGCATTATTTTCATGTTGGGAATGTTTGCCACATCTCATACCAATATCCATGGAAATGTATGTTACATGCATTGCACATAAATCATATCATTTTTGATCATGCATAAAGCATAGCATTTTTTATCATAATTATGGTATTCAAGTTTCAAGA